CAGGAATGAAATGATGTACCCAGGGGGGCTTTTGTTTCACCGTCGCTAGAAGCAATGCTGTGTTAATGGATATCGCAGGGTTGATTTTTAAAAATATTTTTATTAAAAAATTATTTTTAAATTTTTTAAATTATCTTTAAAAATTAATATATCAAAACAATTTAAAAATATTAAAAAATTTATATTCTAAATAATAAAAAACATGAGTTATGAGTTAGAAAAATGATTAGGATTGATTGAATTAATTTAAAATAGTATTATTTTATTTGTAGATATGGTTAGATTTAAAATAAAATGATATAATTTTAAAAATTAAATCTAGTTTTTGATGTGATTATGAGTTGCTTTGCTAAATTTAGTTAAATTAATTTTAACCTATAAACTTGACTATATTTAATGATTTATCTATCTAGAACCTAATTTGAATTTGATTTCTTGCTAAATAGAATGAAAATGGATTTAATTAAAAAATTTTGACGTGATATATTTATCCAGGATTCAATTAACTAGATTAAAATTTAAACCCTGTTTATTTATTAAAAAATAGTTTTTTAAAGTGAATTTTGGAAAAATAAATTCCAGTAAACTGAATTATTTTTTGATATTTGGTAATGCAATAAAAAATAAATTAAAAAATACTTTACAATATTTAGTTATGTCATAGAAAATGAGCCGAAAAATAACTTATTAATATTTTTTTAAAATTTATTAAAATAATAAGAAATAAATCTTATAAATTAAAAAGTTGAATGAGAATGAAATTGAAAAAAATATAATTTTATAAATTATCTCAAATAAAATAAATAATAATCAAAATAATAAAGATCAAATATAAAAACTTAAAAGATGAAGAAATTAAAATAATAATAATTACCATTTCATAAATTATTTTAAATAAAATAAGTAGCAATCAAAGAATAAGTATTAAATTTAACAAATAAAAAATTTTAATTAAAAAATAAAAAATTAACAATTATAAAAATAATAACAGAAATTAATATAAAAATTAAATTACAAGGAATGAAATTTAAAAAAATATTTAAAATATATATATATAGCAATTAAAAATTTAATGTTCAAATTTGATATAATCAATAAATAATATAATATTTTAAAATTTTAAAATTTTTAATAATTTTTAGAAAATATTTTTTGTTTAAAATAAAAAATATTAAAAAAACAAATTAAATTTTCTTTTAACTAAAAATTATAAAATCAATATCAAAATCTCTAGGGTATCGTTGTTCTTCCTGATTGATGTGATTCGTGTTGAGTACAAGAGCTATCCCGTTTCTACATGTGGTCCTATTTTAGGTGCTAGAACTGAAAGACACAGGAAGGGAGAGGCGGACATGGAAAGGAGAAGCATGTGCAAACCTAGGTTCTACATTTGCCAAAATACCAATAAATTCAAGTAAATTTTCCGAATTTACTTCCTTAAAAACCTCTTGCGTTTGAATGAGATTTTCATGGTGAATGCATTGAATAAGAACAGATCTCGTTAGCCAATTCTATAAATTTAACAATCGAGATTATTTAGAAAATGAATTTGAGAAAAATGAATTCGTAGTTCATCTATTTTCTCGGAGAAAAAAAACACGAAACCACAATGATTTATCTTTCTTTTACTCCATAAAACGGTTTTTTCTATGAGTGTTTTGGCTGAAACTACAAATATGATAGGAAACATGTTTCTATTAATCTTGTTAAATCTAAATAACTTCACAGATTAATTTATAATTTAGTCGACTTAACTTCAAAAGATTTTATTAATTTTTATCCAAATTTTACTTTCTAAAAAAATAAATAGATATTGTTCTGAATTAAAATGATAAACTTGTAATTCAAGTATTAAATTAATTTAAATATTATATTGAATTTAATAATTATATATTTAACTAGTATATTATTTGTTTGGTAATGTAGTGTATGATTGTATTATAGAAATATTTCTCATGCAAAAAGCATTAAAAATATATGTTTTATTTATTATATATATATATATTAAAAATTATTTAAAAATATTAATTTAATATTTTTTATGTGAAAAATATTTTAAAAACACGTCAAACAACAAGAACAAACAGCCTGAAATCTCAAGATCGAGTAAAGTTTTTCTACTCCGATATGTTTTCAACAATGACATGATGCTTCGTCCGACCAAAATAGACACGCTCGCCACTTCGTCTCTAATGTCAACTTTTTGTTTGCTCAAGCAACGCCCTCAATCATTTTTGGTAAACGCTAAGCACCTTCCTTGCCATATTACGAATCCCATGATCATTACATTAAGAAGCAGATTTTCTATGTTACAATGGATATAAGGCGTTGAAAAGTGTTGAGATTAACCTTAAATATCATGGATGTGAGAGTATAATTTTGCTGCTTTTAAAAAAATAATTATAACCATAGTCTCAACATATAAAATGTGTAAGAGGTTAAAAAGCGGTAAGATAATATTATAAATGCATTGAGTACAAAACCTTTTTAGCTAGTAATCACTTAATCATTTATTTTTATATTTTGAATAGATATTTTTAATGTGACAACTTTATTTTACTAAAAGAATTAACAAAAATCTATTTCACGTGGTAGGTAAAAGTATTGTATATTTGCCGAGATTGTTTGGGCATCTCGATCTTTTAAAAAATATAATTAAATTATCTGATTATCTTTAAAAACAGAAAAAAAAAAAAGAATTTAGCCTAGACATTTTTTTGACAATTTGTTTTGCTATATATAGTTTAATTACTTTATTATCCTTGACGCACAACCATTCCTAGGCTTGCCTTCGGGGGTATATTATTTATTTCACGTTGGCTTTTTTTTGGTGGCAATACTCATGCGATCCCAAAGTAATTTGATAAATTAATTAACAAATAAATAATAAATAAAAGGAAAAGTGGCATCCCGCCTCTACTTTTGATCATATTTCACCCAATATTAATTTTATATATTGGTGTGACATGTTATTTGAAAGGTATGATAAGTTATAAAGCAGTAAGATAATCTTATAAATGCATTGAGCACAAAACTTTTTTAGCTAGCAATCACTTAATTATTTATTTTTATATTTCAAATAAATATTTTTTATGTTGACGATTTTTTTTACTGTAAGTATTAACAAAACCTATTTCATGTGGGAAGAATATCGTATATTTGTGGATTATATTAGTTAAATTATTATTTTGCCCTTCACTGAAAAAACAATTAGCCTTTAAGGATATATGAGTTTTTTCATGGGATTCATTTGTAGAAATTGCTTGATTGTTTAGGATATCTTGATCTTTTATAATTTTTTAATTGATGAAATTGCTTGATTGCCCTTAAAAGCATAGAAAATTAATTTTGATTTTGGGGTTTTTCAACAATTTCTTTTGCCATGTACAATTTGATTATTCTATTATCCTCGAAGCACAAAAAATTTTAGACTTGACTTTAGAGGTATATTAGTTATTTTATGTTGGTTTTTTTATGGCAATACTCATGTGATCTGGGGTCATTTGATAATTTAATTAATATTAATAAATAAAGAGAAAAGCTTGAACATATTAACAAGTAAGTGATTACATTATTTTTCAGGCAGAGCATGTAGTCGCTCACAAAGATAAAAACACAAGATTTCTTAGTCTTTTTCGATTCACAATGACAAGGTAAACCTTCCAAGGTAGAGTGGATTGACAATGATTAGCTTTCTTATTCCTTTTCTTTTTCTTTTT